TGTATGTATGTATGTATGTATGTATGTATGTATGTATGTATGTATGTATGTATGTATGTATGTATGTATGTATGTATGTATGTATGTATGTATGTATGTATGTATGTATGTATGTATGTATGTATGTATGTATGTATGTATGTATGTATGTATGTATGTATGTATGTATGTATGTATGTATGTATGTATGTATGTATGTATGTATGTATGTATGTATGTATGTATGTATGTATGTATGTATGTATGTATGTATGTATGTATGTATGTATGTATGTATGTATGTATGTATGTATGTATGTATGTATGTATGTATGTATGTATGTATGTATGTATGTATGTATGTATGTATGTATGTATGTATGTATGTATGTATGTATGTATGTATGTATGTATGTATGTATGTATGTATGTATGTATGTATGTATGTATGTATGTATGTATGTATGTATGTATGTATGTATGTATGTATGTATGTATGTATGTATGTATGTATGTATGTATGTATGTATGTATGTATGTATGTATGTATGTATGTATGTATGTATGTATGTATGTATGTATGTATGTATGTATGTATGTATGTATGTATGTATGTATGTATGTATGTATGTATGTATGTATGTATGTATGTATGTATGTATGTATGTATGTATGTATGTATGTATGTATGTATGTATGTATGTATGTATGTATGTATGTATGTATGTATGTATGTATGTATGTATGTATGTATGTATGTATGTATGTATGTATGTATGTATGTATGTATGTATGTATGTATGTATGTATGTATGTATGTATGTATGTATGTATGTATGTATGTATGTATGTATGTATGTATGTATGTATGTATGTATGTATGTATGTATGTATGTATGTATGTATGTATGTATGTATGTATGTATGTATGTATGTATGTATGTATGTATGTATGTATGTATGTATGTATGTATGTATGTATGTATGTATGTATGTATGTATGTATGTATGTATGTATGTATGTATGTATGTATGTATGTATGTATGTATGTATGTATGTATGTATGTATGTATGTATGTATGTATGTATGTATGTATGTATGTATGTATGTATGTATGTATGTATGTATGTATGTATGTATGTATGTATGTATGTATGTATGTATGTATGTATGTATGTATGTATGTATGTATGTATGTATGTATGTATGTATGTATGTATGTATGTATGTATGTATGTATGTATGTATGTATGTATGTATGTATGTATGTATGTATGTATGTATGTATGTATGTATGTATGTATGTATGTATGTATGTATGTATGTATGTATGTATGTATGTATGTATGTATGTATGTATGTATGTATGTATGTATGTATGTATGTATGTATGTATGTATGTATGTATGTATGTATGTATGTATGTATGTATGTATGTATGTATGTATGTATGTATGTATGTATGTATGTATGTATGTATGTATGTATGTATGTATGTATGTATGTATGTATGTATGTATGTATGTATGTATGTATGTATGTATGTATGTATGTATGTATGTATGTATGTATGTATGTATGTATGTATGTATGTATGTATGTATGTATGTATGTATGTATGTATGTATGTATGTATGTATGTATGTATGTATGTATGTATGTATGTATGTATGTATGTATGTATGTATGTATGTATGTATGTATGTATGTATGTATGTATGTATGTATGTATGTATGTATGTATGTATGTATGTATGTATGTATGTATGTATGTATGTATGTATGTATGTATGTATGTATGTATGTATGTATGTATGTATGTATGTATGTATGTATGTATGTATGTATGTATGTATGTATGTATGTATGTATGTATGTATGTATGTATGTATGTATGTATGTATGTATGTATGTATGTATGTATGTATGTATGTATGTATGTATGTATGTATGTATGTATGTATGTATGTATGTATGTATGTATGTATGTATGTATGTATGTATGTATGTATGTATGTATGTATGTATGTATGTATGTATGTATGTATGTATGTATGTATGTATGTATGTATGTATGTATGTATGTATGTATGTATGTATGTATGTATGTATGTATGTATGTATGTATGTATGTATGTATGTATGTATGTATGTATGTATGTATGTATGTATGTATGTATGTATGTATGTATGTATGTATGTATGTATGTATGTATGTATGTATGTATGTATGTATGTATGTATGTATGTATGTATGTATGTATGTATGTATGTATGTATGTATGTATGTATGTATGTATGTATGTATGTATGTATGTATGTATGTATGTATGTATGTATGTATGTATGTATGTATGTATGTATGTATGTATGTATGTATGTATGTATGTATGTATGTATGTATGTATGTATGTATGTATGTATGTATGTATGTATGTATGTATGTATGTATGTATGTATGTATGTATGTATGTATGTATGTATGTATGTATGTATGTATGTATGTATGTATGTATGTATGTATGTATGTATGTATGTATGTATGTATGTATGTATGTATGTATGTATGTATGTATGTATGTATGTATGTATGTATGTATGTATGTATGTATGTATGTATGTATGTATGTATGTATGTATGTATGTATGTATGTATGTATGTATGTATGTATGTATGTATGTATGTATGTATGTATGTATGTATGTATGTATGTATGTATGTATGTATGTATGTATGTATGTATGTATGTATGTATGTATGTATGTATGTATGTATGTATGTATGTATGTATGTATGTATGTATGTATGTATGTATGTATGTATGTATGTATGTATGTATGTATGTATGTATGTATGTATGTATGTATGTATGTATGTATGTATGTATGTATGTATGTATGTATGTATGTATGTATGTATGTATGTATGTATGTATGTATGTATGTATGTATGTATGTATGTATGTATGTATGTATGTATGTATGTATGTATGTATGTATGTATGTATGTATGTATGTATGTATGTATGTATGTATGTATGTATGTATGTATGTATGTATGTATGTATGTATGTATGTATGTATGTATGTATGTATGTATGTATGTATGTATGTATGTATGTATGTATGTATGTATGTATGTATGTATGTATGTATGTATGTATGTATGTATGTATGTATGTATGTATGTATGTATGTATGTATGTATGTATGTATGTATGTATGTATGTATGTATGTATGTATGTATGTATGTATGTATGTATGTATGTATGTATGTATGTATGTATGTATGTATGTATGTATGTATGTATGTATGTATGTATGTATGTATGTATGTATGTATGTATGTATGTATGTATGTATGTACTCTGCTCTGCAGAGCACTTTTCACCCAGCTCCGTGCTCCGAGTGAAAGCGAATGGCAGGCGTAAAATGTATCAGCTGGCAACCTGGTATGAAGTTACTAACGAGTGAACTTGGTCGCGTTGACAACTGCCGCCTCCCCAGATGGAGACCCCGGGACTCAACTCACCAATCGTTAGTGACATTGGCAGAAATAGCCCAATCGCGCACTCGTACATCAAAACTGTCGGCTTCAACGCGTAGCCATCTAGTTTGCTGACTAACTAAACACGCCATCCTCTTCGATACTTGTATGTATTTCCCACGCTCTCCCACTTTCCGGTGATCGCGACTGTAACAGCTGAAACCAGTCTATCCTTGATACATGATTTATAGCCGATAAAATTTGAAAAAAAGATACGTGAATTGCAGCAAGTTTCGTTGCTGGTGTACGTTCAGCGTGAGTTCGAAACCGTACGCGAGTGAGCGTGCTAGATCAACCAGCAACTAAGTCCTTGTTACCATGTTTTTGTAAACTCAAATTTCAGTTTGATGTCCTCGATTCCGCATGCTCAGATGACTGATTTTTGGTTTCCGTCGGTTATTTGTATCCTGAAATTAACGTCAACCTCACCCTCGTTTGAATAGTCCATCTTGTTCTAGTAAATCTACACCAAGGCGAGGGAGCACTGGGTTCGAGCCTCGGTCTTAGTGGACCTCATTATTAGTGCACATCCCAGGCCGTGCGGTCGTTTGAACTCGGGACATCGGACGCGTGAGGCACCAGCACAGGCGAAGGTGTTCACTGTTAAGTGACGTGATTTCTTCTTTTCCAACAGCTCGAACGGCGACCCAGTAACCATTCCAAGAGTTTTAAGCAACCTTGTAAGTAGCTTCTGCGATATCTCGAGTAGCGTACCAACTGCAACATGAGGCGGCCTGTGTGCAGCACATTCATTTGTAGAATATCATAAACGAGAGGTTCACTTGAGTCTCCTGTGAAAACCAAATTGATTTGGAAATGAGTGTATTTCTCGAAAGCAGTCCAATTTGGGTTCAAGTAGAACATGAGGTTGACGGAAACTCGGGCACCGCGCCTACCTGATGGGCCAAAGTGGAAGGGCAAAACCGGTCGTGGGCTGTCGAGGAGTCTTCAGCAACCTTGTGAGTAGCTACCTTTAAGAAAACATACTGCGATATCTCGAATATCGTACCAACAGCGACATGAGGCGGCCTGTGTGCAGCACATTCAATTGTAGAGTATCATAAACGACAGATTCAGTTGAGTCTCTCGTGGAAATCAAACTGATTTGCAAATGAGTGTTTTGTTGCAGTAACCATTCTGTTTGTGTCGATCGACTGACGCGCTTGTCAGCAGTTCCCAGTCAGACAACCTCACAAATGCCTGAACTCACTACCAGGAGTTCCAGTTCCAGCACAGCTGATGGGAGTTAATAAGAGCGAGTCCGTAACCTACTGAGTTCTACGTTTGCGTGAACTCACCAGAATAACTGCCCCAGGACAGCGGAAATTCTATCCAAACGACGGTGATGTGAACGTGAATGATACAATTGGCGCGCAACCATCTAAAACCATCTTGGAATTAGTGTAAACAGACACTACAACTGCTGGAACGGCTGGAGGACGGCTTCCTGGCTTTCGAACAAGATAATTCACAGAACCTGATGTGGTGAGTAAAGAGAACGCGTAAAGATGACTTCTTTTTGAACTTTCAATACTCACAGGAGGAACGTCAGAAACGTGCCGAAGAAACCATTCTCATGCAACTGGTTCCTCGAACTCCAAGAAGTCGGGAGAAACTAGATCCAATTGCAACTTCCAGTTCCGGCAAATCGGTGAGTAGGAGGCCATTTTCTCTTTGATTTCAGTAGTACTTAGGTTGAAGTAGTTGGCCTTGAATGACTCACTTTTTAAGACGAACCCAACCCCGGAATCTAGCTTGCTCCTGTCTTGTTGTGCGCATCAGAACAAAATTTCATCTATTCCTCCTGACGTGGCAGCTGGANCCATTTTCTCTTTGATTTCAGTAGTACTTAGGTTGAAGTAGTTGGCCTTGAATGACTCACTTTTTAGGACGCGAATTGCTGACCGGAAGGTCCGTGATTCGAACCCAACCCCGGAATCTAGCTTGCTCCTGTCTTGGTGTGCGCATCAGAACAAAATTTCATCTATTCCTCCTGACGTGGCAGCTGGATGCGGAAGGAACTACTGATTGTTTTCAATGACTGGCTGAAAAGCGATAACCTTGTTTCATTAGAATTACCTTCGTTTCCTTGAAAGACCAGTCTCGCCTTGGTCAAAACAACCTGGCGATATCTAGTCTACGCTATCAAACAAACTTAGCATATGCGACCTGTGGCCCAAAGGTAACGAAATGTTGTGAATCTTTTGCCAGGTTATTGACACGACACCTTCTCCAGTGAAATACCGCCAGGTAACGAATCCCTTTTACTCACACGACTGTCAGGCTATCCTTCCTTCCACGGTATAACCAAATCTTAGTTAAGCAAAGTTGTCCCCCCTTCTGACGCGTTACAAAAGGACGAGTACTATGTGCGACCTTGATGGCCACTTACACTAATCATTAACGCGTACTGGGCCTGCAATTATGCTAGATCCGCTGATCCTTCCCTACCTGATCCTTTACACGTCACGGTGATCGAATCCATCATAGAGTACCCTGCTTCTGGAATTTCACTTCCACATCTCGCGTCTACGTAGGCTAAATCTATTTCGCACCATGATTTGCGACCATGATTGTTTAAGTGACATCATTCAACTTTGAATGTCCGCCATTCTGTCTCTTCTCTTAGAGCGAGATCACAGATGGCACTATCTACGTGCCCGTCTCAGACATTGACGAACCAGATCTCGCAGTGGTACGGTGACTTTCTGTGTTCTTGTAAATTCAACTGTTGTTTTTTGATTACAAGCTTCAATCACGTGTTCTGTTGCTTCGCCATTCTCATCATGTCATATCTACCGTTTTTTGTTGAAGTTCAACCGAAACTGTTCGTTGTTACACGTTTTATTTGGCTGTCATATTTATAGCCGTGATTTCAAGGTGACTCTTGTTCTAACTATCTGATCGGTTGGTTCACATGTGGATGTGTGTGCGTGTGTGTCTATTCCAGTGAGTTCCTCCTCATGTTCAGGTTGTTTGCTTGAAGTGAGCGTACCAACAGAGTTACAGAGTACACCGACAGGAGACCTTCACAGATCTACCGGCTTGACTGCATTTTAGCGATTCCTATTTGTTTAGTAAGCATTTTTCCTGTGTACTTCAGCAAAGTGACTTCAATATCAAGTTCTGCACATGCAATGTTTGCCAATAGAGAGCACTAAAGGAGTACAGGACACGCTAGCTGAGTCGTAACGTTCCCCCCACACATATCGATTGCAGTGTGGCTTGCAAAAGTGACCTTATCCAGTTCAGAACTGACGGCAATTTTACCACATCCCGTGTCCGAAATCGAGCATGTGGTAACCCCTAACCTCACTTGCTTCCCCAAATTAGATGGATAGACAAAGTCAAATGGAAGTGGCCAAACTGAGGAGAATCCACAGAAAACACCAACTAAGGGATCGTAAGGCTGGAAAACCACCATATTTGTACCTGTACGAACCCGGCGTGGCCCGTGGACAACCGAAGAATTCCGGACGTTTGCGAACACAACAGGAGAAAGCGACGCTGGCCAAATCTCGCGGTGATACTCATCAGCTGGCGCAAGAGAGCACTAAGCTAGATGTGGCCGGGTCTTCAGAAGGTGACCAGTCACGTTCCCACGACAAGGAAGACCAAGGTGATAGAACGATGGGAGAAGAGCGATCGGTAGGCTCTCCACAACGTTTTTTTTCAAATTGCCTTCATGAATGAATCTGCTTTTTCCCCATGGACTAGATACTGAGGGTCTAAGACTGATTATTTGGTCAAGGGATATCTATCAGTCCACTGAATCTTTGAAAGTAGTACCGAATTTAACAGCACCCCTATTCTTCCGAACTGAAACAGCACAAAAATGTAGGTGGTACATGGCTAATTAGGCGCACCTGGTGCAAACTGTAGTAATCCAAGAATCTGTTAGGAACAGCTTTGCCCTCAGGAGGGATTAAACTCAAATAAACATTCCTCTGATTGGCTACCTTGATTGATGAGTGTTCAAGACCAAACACTTCAAGGACTGTTATAAAACGACGAGCTAATCTATGAGTAAAAGCCGAAAATCACAGTACAAATGCTTTATCTTTATTCGAAATCATCATCAAACCGCGGTGGGGAGTTTCGAACCCCCGATCTCCCGGCTGGCAGTTTGATCCCATAACCGTTCAGCCACGATCAGCAATGTAACTAACCCTCTCGCCGCTCATCCTTCAATCACAGAAACCACATCATGTAGTGAATAGCTTTTCCGGTGATGACCTCTCAAGTGATTTCAAATAAGAACCAAGCAGTCATACGGTGCCTCACTGCTTTTCGTCAAAGGTTGGTTTTACTTACAAGACGAAATATCAATTGAAAACTCCCAGCTGTGACAGTCAGAGCTAACCAAAAGATAGTAACAATAAGGGTCTACATCTCAGGTGACCTTGTTCAGTCACCAATGTCTTCAGAACCGTGTGCGTTATCACGAGATGCACATTTGTTTTAAATAATTACCACGTGATGATTCAATGCTCTCTAATCGTTAATTATTCGAAAGTTATGTGTATGAGAAGGGACCTAGCGCTTCTCCAGTACAATCTTCCTGACATATCTACACCTCCATACACTCACTGTGCGATGCTCTGTCGTTGGATCAGGTGATTAGGCCGTTTACTTCGTGCGCCAGAGGAACCGGGAACCCTTTTTAGCCGGCAAGATCTCGGACGAAGGCAACCGAGTGTCGGTCAGCCTATGAAATGACAACTAGCCCGCTCAGATATGTTGGTGTAGTGATGGCTGAGTGGTTAAGACGCGAACTTACTGACGGGAAGGTCCGTGGTTCGAGCCCAACCCCAGGACCTTGAGTACTCACATCTGGAGTTGGGCAACCTAGCAGTATTTTGTCCCTCGTGTTTTTTTGGGTGGTATGTTAGCTACGTACCTAAAGGGTGTTAAAGCTGAGCGATTGTTCGTAGTTGCCGCCCCCCGGACGGGGACCTCGGGATAAAACATTCCAGTAATAGGTGACCCTGATAGATATGGCTATGTCACCTAAGCAATTGCGACCTCGCGTCAAAGCGGTTTATAGCTAAAACCGCTGACTGATTAGCCGACTATGTCACGAAAACAATCGGCCATTCTGTTTTCTTCGTTCGCATTGCTCTCCGTTAGTACTCACAGTCACTACCTGGAGTACTTGCAACAAACATAGCAGAGAAATTCAGAATCTTTTAGCTTCACTGTCATTCTACAACTTTCGGCAGACCGAAGATATATTTCTTGTTGGCCAACCTATGAGGCCAGTTAAACCGAGTTGGTAACTTCCAGACTAAGCCTCCCGAGCTAGTTCAGTGATACCGTAAGACAGGGTCTTTGGAGAGAGGCGGCTTTGTTGAAGTCTGCCCCGTAGATATTATTCAGTCAGTGGAACTCGGACAGTGACACAAAATGACAATCATTCTTCACAGTCAAGATCGTTGGGAATCCGTGAAACTATCAAGGACGCACATCTTCGGACCACGATGGGACAAACGGAAGAATCTGAACAAAGGCTTGTTTTGACAAATCATATCATTCTTCACAGTCAAGATCGTTGGGACTGTGCGAAACTATCAAGGACGAACAGCTTCGGACCACCATGGAACCGACGGAAGAATCTGGACAAAAGCTTGTTTTGAACGAAGAGAGTGAGAAATCACGACAAAACGACGTATCCTACAGAGAACCCCACCGAAAGGACAATACCAATGCACGGAAACACACATTGTTCCCGCGATCGCCCCCAATGCCAGACAAGACGGTGCCTGGTGCAGTTCCTACCATGGTCTTCTCGGCGTCGAAGCCACCTCATGGTGTTTTCATTCCGGCTTCATCTGAGGCCAGAAATCGCGTTCAGTCACAGAACATAACATCTCCCCGGAAGCTAAGACCTGTACGATCGCGGCCACACAGCTCAAGGACGGCAGGTGACTTGGATATGTATCAGATCGCTGGTCAGCATAGACCAGAGTGTAACATTAGCGGGGAAAGTGAGGGTTTGCCGAAACTAATCAGCAGTAGATCAGACGAAGTGAGTTATTGGTGCCAGTTATTTTGATATTCTTGTTCCAGAACTTTCGTACCCACAGTGAATATACCCCACCAGAGTTAGCATCAGTTATGTCGTTCGGTGAAGTATGTTGCCCAGTAGTTTGGCCCAAAAATCTTAGGAAATCGCGCAGTATCAAGCCATACCTCAAGCCGATGCAGATCTGGCAAGGCATTATGCATTCAGACAGTGAACGAAGCTCTAAAGACTCTGCAGATACTCATTTACACGTCAAGTGTGACCATTGATAGCAGTCCTGTACAGATAGCTCAGCCACCAATAAAAAATCAGGACAGACTGGGCGGATCAAAGGGTCATGTGACTAATTCCATACGCCCACGTGATACAACCCAATAGGAAGTCGCGACAATTTTTTCAAAAGCCAATCAAATCTTCGCTACGCTTATTTAGGCTCCCTGTTCACTTCGAATGACAATGCGGCCTCTGAGCACATGATCATGACTGCAGCCCTTGTGCAACGGTTAGAGATGACGTAAAACTGCCATCCAGCTTGAAGTTGCAGCCCTAATTCACCACACATCGGATACCCAGATCACCATTTGCCCATCAGGCTACATAACTGAGTAAATTCATAAAACTTTTCAACTCACTTATGACGTAACACTGTGTAATTGAGATGAGTTGTTTGCGGGTCACCTGGGCGATGTTAGTAGAACGGTCATTTTAGGTAATGAGTGCCTAGAAAACCGCCATATGATGACATCGGCTGCAATCTTGGCTGAAATGAGGATGTGAAGTGATATTCACTCTTCCTAGAAGCCAAATCGATCGATCTCCAAATAAAGCTATGCTGACGATATTCCATGAGTGGAAGTTGATCAGGATTGAGTGTTGAGATATTTCGGGATAATGACAATACTTAAATATTTTACAGCTTAAGAGAAAGTGATCACGAGAGACTAGAATTATGGACCGTACACTTTTATGTACCTCTATCCCGGTAAAGACAACACCTGCCCTATGAATAAACTAGAACTCACCTTGAAGGATTTCCGGATTGAATTCAAGTGGTTACGATTGATTTCTGTTTTTAATCGTCACACCCGTAGGGCTATCCAACAAGTTAAACTGAGCAGATGCCCCCAAGTCCGTCCACCGGTTGTCATGGCAACACCGGTTACCATGGCAAGCGTCTCTGAAAAATGCCTCACTAGCGTGTTGTCGGCCTAGCCTAAAAAGCCTAATAAGCATCGATGGCTGACTTGGCCGCTTCTCTGATGGTGCCATTTTTGTCAGCACCTGAGATCCGGCTTGTCATCAGCTATGACTTCAAGTTCCTCTTCGTTAGCAAAGTTCTTCCCCAATAAGTAGCCTGCTCAAGCTTACTCACGTTACGGCCATTGTAGACAGTCACACTCAGCTCGGAATTCGGCTTTCTCCCAGCTTGATTTTGTCAAGCTGTACATGGAGATTCATTGCGGAAAAAAATTATTCCCGGAATCGTCTTCAACGGGAAGGGTTTTTAGAAAAAATAGTTCTCGGTCATCCGCCCAAATCATGATTAAACAAGTGGCACTGGCAAGCTGTGACTGGTTGATCATCAGACGGCCCAACGATGGTTTCTGCCTTTGTCCTACATCTGGATGGTTTGGCTGAACGAGCCCTACTTCGAAGCATTTCAAGTGTATTCTTGGTTGTGTTGGGGTATAAAGTATATGTAGACATGAATAGGAGAAATATCCGCTTCAAAACTGTATGTGAATTCAACTTACATACCACGCTGTGTATAGGGCTTATCAATCTCCGTTGGTCGCAAACATGGGGTCCTCTGGTTGGTCCCTCGTGGTTGGTGGTTTCTCCGGGTTCCTTTTTCGGTTTTTCGAAGGTTAATGCATGATTTTGAACCGGTTGCACTGCGGTGCGGCTAAACAGTCTTGTTCAAGACTACTCAGGCCGTTTCGGCTCTCCCCCACGTGCAAGTTCTGTTGTGCCACGTTTTCTTTCAATGAAACGTCTGCCAGGTATACTCACATCAACAGACTGGCTTTATCAACCACCGGAATAGGCCCCCAAAGCTGACGCAAGCTGGTGAGGAGCACGTTAGATTGAGCGATTGGATGTTTTGCAGTCTACCACAGGGCCATTTCTTGGTGTGCAAACTCTAAACAAGCATTAATCTCTTTGAAGGGAGTAATTTCCGGGTATCTGAAGAGTTAAGTCATCATCACCATCCTCATCATCTCGCCTTCATGACCATTATGATTATCAGTGAAGGTAACGACAGAGAAAACATGACACGAAGAACAACACCAAAGATGTCAGGTTTGTTCTGAAACAGGCTGAGCATCGCTGTGTCCAGTACACTGCGACCTACAGGGAGTTTCATAATAAACGCAAAAAGCAATACCCGTGTGAAATTTTAACACTGATGTAAACCTTCATTATTTTTCGTGTGAACGTACGTGCATTAAGAAGGTTTACTGTGAACAAACAGGTATTACAAAAAATTTTGAAAAAACTGCCCTTCTTTTCTATAACACGTTGGAGGTGGTATGAGATGTGAAACACAGCATGTTTAACTTCTTCAAGCGTAACTCGTGCACACTCCTCTTGAATTTTTGTCGTTAACTCCACCAAATTCTTCGGCTTAGCTTCATAATACACGCGAGCTTTGATGAAGGTCGCGTCTCATAATACGATGCACGCTGGCGCGGGGAATGCCGGTCAACTGAGACACCTGAGTTATTGACGAAGATGCCATGGTGCTCTGGGATTGAAGTCCCTCGACGGCATTCTGTACAATATGTATGCCTTCATCACTCAAAGACCTTGCGCACTCAGACTCACGCGAAAAACCTCCTTAATGTGGCTACTAACAATAAGAAATTTTGTTATCCTTCAATTAACTGACTACGTTTACTTACCCAATTAAATTTTGCGTTTATTATGAGAAGTCCTGTAGTTTGTGACCAAACCGAGTAGCGGGAATAAAAGGGCGATTCAAAGGATAAAAACCCGAAGACAAATGGACGGCTGTATCACATCATTTTCCGGTTTCCACGTTCTCTATGGATCCCCCATTTAAGTTCCATCGACAGCAGAACAACGATGATTCGCTGCTGTGTACTCGTACCTGCGCATTAAACAGCGTAGATATCTTCCCCGAATACCCATTTATGCCCACTGTGTTTCACCTATACCTGTTGGTTACAACTTGGCCTTCTTAGTCGTGTTCATACTTAGACGGATAACTCGACTCTGTCGTTTTTGTGTTTCGCTCAATACAGAAAATGGAAGAGATTCGCAGTTCAGAAGACCTGCCGTCCATTATGGATAAGGCAGAGCTAGCGAAGGTATAAGTTGAATTTGGTTTCCATACAGGATGTTCTTCTGTCGTTTTGTGTTCAAAGTACAGCTGAGATGGTGTGATGGGCTGAGCAGACAAACTTTATTGATTTATCCTTATAACTGTTGACAGTACAATATGTGGATGGATCTCCCACATGAACCTGGACTTCAGATTCATGAGTTGCCTCCAACGCAAGCTTCTTTTCCAGTTTTTTTTTTCATAAAGGAAACTACTCACAAGGTTCCTGAAAACTCTTCGACAGCCCACAACCGGTTTCGCCCCTCTTGGGGCTCATTAGGTAGGCGCAGTCCCCGAGTTTCCGTCAACCTTATGCTCTACTTGAACCCCAATTGAACTGTTCTTTCGTCGGTGAAAGGGCAATTTAACATTTTAAGAGATGTGGCGCTGTTGTGATTTCGATGACGAGGTGATGTTGATGAGAAGGAGGACGAGGATGATGATGGCGTTGATGATGATATGGATGACTGCTCAAAGCTAGAGTGGGTTTTTAAACGCCGTGTTGTTTTAACGACTGCGCCCATCCACTTCTTTTGAAGTTTTGTTTG